AAGAGATAAAATGTTGAACAGCACTGTGAACATTTATTGGTATCACATAAACAGATTTGATGAAGAGTCTTGATCGAGACTCTTGGGAAAAAACTTATAGAACAAATGATTCGTTCTACAAACAACTCATTCTATCGGGATTGTTGAACACCATCCATCTGGATGCAAAAGAGCTTCAAAATCTAGAAATTTTCAAGTATTTCCATTTTTTCTTCAAATCTACAGTTATAGGTGACCGCTATAGAATAATTAAGAAAACAATATCTAAACACATAAAATGTTTATTTTGTTTATGATTTTGCAGTATCTCGATCAAGAATTCACTTCCTGGAATCGATTTGAAGTGAAAGGTGACATGACATTGGAAGAATTTATTGAATATTTCAAGGTAAACAGCAACATCGGCTTCGGTTTTTTCTTTATTTATTTTGGATTTCATTGTACAGACAGAACACAAACTAGTACCAACCATGATCGCTACAGATCGTTCGATACTCTACAGATCGAGATTTTCCACATCACAAGCTAATGCACAACGGATGAAACAAAAGTAGGTTTCCGTTACAGTTTTTTTCGATATTTGTAGAATAAATGTTTTCGTTTGTTTTCGCTTCTTTTGAAGGGTTTCTGAATCGTATGAAACGGTGACAAAGACGAAAATTCCACCACATGTTCGTTCGCTTGTTTTCGAATTACTTTGCGACGATCTCGAAGGAAACGATATCGACGATGTGCCCTACATTAAATTCACCTTTCGCTGAACATGAGCATACGAATCATTCTTGAACTTTTGATTATATTATTTTCATTCTTTTAAAAACTTTTTACTAACATCAACTAACATGGACATGAGTTTATTGAATTAATCTGTACGCGTTAACAAAAAGCAGCATTTTTCAAGATCGAATATGCAGCTGCTCGACCCTATGAAAAGAGGTGAAGAGTTCATGAACCTGCCGCATGATAGTTGTTGTTTTTGAGGGCGTGGGCGGGTGTGGGTATGGGTGTGGCTGTGAGTGTGGGTGTGAATGTGAGGTGTGAGTGTGGGGTGTGCGTGTGCGTGTGGGTGTCGAGTATGGGTGTAGGTATTATCTTCAATGATATCCACACACCCAGTCCTCTCTCACTCACTCACACCCACAGCTACACCCTAAAATTCAATCTTCTGCATAATCCATCAGGCTCACTATTATCTTATTATGAAGAAACTATTGTTGCAAATAGACATCGAATCATTTCATTGCGTCTGGGCATAATTGAAAGATCCAGTATATTCAATAGCTCAATTAATATCGATTCATATGTATTCGTCTCGAGTCACTTATTCTCAACATCAATGATTCACAAGAATTATGTTCAATGTTCAGCTTATGTTCTCTACCTTGCCTCTTCTCATTAATCATTTATCTTTGTGACTTCATATATTATATCGATGATATATATATGCTCTTTACTTAAATTAAAATACGCAAAACTCTCATTTGAAGCCTCTTCAGGATTTCATTTATTGCCAAATGCTACTAATAACGAATATACTCCCATAGAATGTCTAGTTGTTGATCATAACTGCACTCCTGGCAGATTATTTGCTATTCTTTCATACAATCCTCGATTTTCATGACTGACTTGTAAAAAATTGTCAGGGTCACAATTTTACAATGCAAAAATGTCGATCACCAAGAGATATATTTACATGCATCTCTATCAGAGACCGAAAACGAACTGAACCGAACCAAACCGCACTCGAACCACTGTTTAAAAATTTTGTCGAACTGAACCGAGCCCACCCTAATTTTCGAAAAGCGGTTAAATGTAGATGAACAGGTAAGAAAATGGATAAATGGTGCTATAATCTTTTTTGTAAACTTGTAATACTGTACACAATTATTAAATGAGATTTGATCGATTTATTTTACATAAGAAACCGAAAATGAAGCGAACAGAACTACAACGGTTCGGTTCGAGTCGAGTCGATCCGAACCGAACTGGAACCGGTTTCACAAGAAAAAGACGAACCTAACCGAATCAGAACCGTCTTTCCGAAAATAAAGCCGAACTAAACTCGAACCAGAAAAATTCGGTTCGTTTCGGTCTCTGATCTCTATTCGTGAATGTTATTTGAACTTTGACGATTGTGAAATGTTCATTAAAACTATATCCTTCCAATTCAAAGTATTACGTATTTCAACATTTAACGATGTGACATATTTAAACGCTGATCGGTAGGAACAATTAATTTCTCAATATATGCCTCATCTATCTATATTTGATTTTAAATATACAGAAGTTATTGCTAAAAAGTTTCGAATTACTTCATCACTTCATAAAGTAATCCATTAGTTTGCCTCATCATTTTGGATCGAACGACGATGTTTCTTAATTGGAATATGAAGTTAGTGGACGAGCACAAAGGGAAAGTATAATATCTTATATAATTCGTCCATACAGATACAGCAAGAAGGATCCACTAAAAGACAAATCACTGGAATAAAACAGAAAGTAAGTGTTTATATTATGACAAAATGACAGTTCTGTTGATTGCAGTGAAAGTAGATCATACATTCGTTCTTTTCAAAACTCGACACTCGGTGAGGATGTAAATGAACACCAACAATAGGTCATTCATTGAACAACCGGAAGGGTTTGATCTTAAGTTGGTATAATACAATTACATTTATATTATTTTCATCAAATCTTTGTTTAATTGATACTATGATTACGTTTAATACAGCATACAAAAAATTTATACGATATGAATCTGTAACAGATAATATATTTATTACACAAATATCCATAGTTTCATTTCGAAGTCTATTAAATTCATTTTCATTTTTCAATACATCATAGTGAACCAATAGTAATTTTGACTTTAGCCAACGCTTGTGAAGGTGAGGGTGTCAGTGTCTTTTCTTCACCCTCACCACCAACCCTAACATCCTCAGCTTCGATATCATGCAATTTAAACATGAAAGAATTCCGAAAAAATGTTTTGTTTAGGGAAATTGTGAAAGACATAGTGATTCTGAAGATTTTTACATGAATTGGCACGTTTCAGTGTCTTCTCTATATGTCGAGTGATAGTAAGTTTATTTCACCTCACAACAACCAACTGTCATAAGTTTAAATGCAAAAGACAGTAAAAAAGCAGCAACGACATAAAATTTATTGACGTCTGTTTATATGCTTCATTACACTTTGTTGTTGTGATTGCCATCGAACTCGTTGTGGAAATGCTGATAATAAGTGAAGTGATCGTCGGCGAACTTGTTGTCGAAATGTTAGTAGTATGGGAAGTGATAGTCGTGGTGGTGATAGCCAACGTTTCATTGCCATTAATTATAACGGACTCTATCCAATCGTAATAGGCAGCCAGTCGTGTATAGACGCTCGGATAATTATCAATTGCACATTGCGCATTACTTGTAATACCCACCTAAATAAAGTGGATCATAAAAAAAAACAGACTGTTCTAAGTTAGTTGTTAGCTAGTATAGAAGTATACAGTGAGAAAGTTGTATGTCCGCTTGTAACAACAAACCGGAGAAGTAGTTTACCGCCACCCTCAGTAATGATGTTTATTGAGTTACATCATATCTCCAGACGATCGTTGCTGAGAGTATTCGCCTTGCACAAAAAGACATACGACTAATTTTCAAAATATAAGCTTTTCTCAAGCTATTGACATTTATGTATCAAATTTAAGATGTTATGTATTCTAACCGTCAACTTTTGCTTTGTTCAAGCAAGGGATGCGCCAAGTCTAATTAATTGAACTTGATCAAAGTTGGATTGAAAAAGCATTAGAGTTTTCAATTCATATTATATAAACTCTATGACAGAATCAAACACGCTAAATGACATTGAACTGTCTCCACAACGCGTCAACAACAGCACATACAAGTATAGTTGTAATTAGTTCAAGAATACTGGAAGTACGTGATCAAATTTTGAATTTGGTTCCTCTAGTTTGGGACATAACTGATCATATAGGAACTTGAAGAGGTTGCGTTGGTGTCTATTACAAACAATATTGAAGAGTAATTGTAATGATATTTCAAAGAGACTAATTGTGTTTTTGTGTCAACGTTTTTGCTCATCAAATCAGCATCAAAGAAAAGAACAATTGGATGAAGACATGCCAATGTTCAGTCCCGAAAAAGCATCAAAAATAAATCGCCCAGCTTGGAATTTTCTACTGATGAAGGAGAAATTCTTAATTTCTTCTACAGAAGTTTCGAGCATATATGTTTCTCGCATTGAAACGTACTTCAGACGAAAATGCGTGGCAGTTCTTCTTCTTGCAATGAGAATTTGAATCTCAGTTGTCTATCCATGAAACCCGGCATTCTTTTCTTCCACAAAAACATCATTGTTAAGAATCGAAAATACGTCAGGCGAATTCAACTATCATGCGAATGATCCCAAAAGGATGACATACGATTCGAGCACTGAAACAACTACAGCTATATGTGTTGTTGTTCACATTGTAGAGAAAGAAAGATGTCACCTAGTGTGTTAAATTAAGCTGTATCGGAAATTTTATCCTCATCATCCTGTCAAGATTTATAACTGATTCAGTTTAGAATCTTGACAAAAAGAGATGAAAGAATTTCATCAAGATTTTAGCTAGTTTCTCTT